ATTTCGGGTTGAGAACTCCATTGAAGTAGCTGTAGATGAGACACTTTGATCTATAGCACCACGAGCAGCGGAAATAGCCCCTAGGATACGGTGGCGAATGATACCATATTGAACTATCAAGATAGCTGAGCTATCAAAGAATGCAAGAACTGGAGGATATCAAAGAATGCAAGAACTGAATGATTTTACTTATTCCTTTCAACTCATCATTTACAGCCTATATATAGTTCCAAGTAAACAGTCAGTTACTCATTTGTTACAGCTACTAACAGATATTCAACAGCCTAACTGACTAATGCTAACAGACTAACACCTTAATTGCACAAACTCAATCAGCAGCACCTATCAGCTGTGCACCATGAGCACGCATATTCCAACAAATATAAATTTACTTTTGATTAAATTATAGTATTACAAATGTAATTTTTTTATTATTGATTGATTTTACCATTTGACAATGAACGTTTAAATCATTGACATTTCTAGTAGTGAATGAGCCATGTAGGCCCCGGGAGGTACTGCCCCCAAAAAATTTTACCATTAAAAAATAGGGATAATTACCAATTTAAACTTTTAAATTTTGATTTTTTTGATTTTGCTCCCCATTTTCTATTGTTAATTATACTTTGTCCCCTAAACTAAAATCTTGGTTCCATCCCTTATTCCTAGTACTTAAACTCGGGAACTTGATAAATAACAACAATTCTTTTACTACTAAAGTCATTTGATCGCACAGACTTAATTTATGTAAATATACACTAATTTTACCGTAATATTTTAAATCTATTTTACAATCTAAATTTAAGATGATATAGCAATGCTTGTTTAATTATTAATATTTAAATGATTAATAAAAGCATATAACGATTGATTAAATTCATTTATGGAATTAAAAAAATCACTAAGAATAATTAGTGTTGAATCATACCCTCAAATAATCCTTATCCTATCCTAATCAACCATTTTTAATAGAGTAAATATATCTAACTTTAATCACTAGAGTAATTTAGTTTTGAATGAAAATTTTCAAAAATAATGATTTTATTAATTTTTAAAATTGGTTTTTGATATATTAATGGTATTTTTTCCCTTCACAATCAATATTAATATATTTTATTTATTTAAAAATGTTCATTTAAAACTTATAATGATGGATTAAGATGGAATATAAATTGAAATTAAGACCTTACATTTAGGGATGAATATTTCATCCGAACTTAATAGATTTCGACTTACTCAATCATATAGGGTCATGATTTTTCTAAAAAACTATAAGTTTAAATAGGTTTGGTTTGATTTTTTTGAAGGTTGAAGTCGGTTCAGATTTAGAGTGAAAATATTCGATGTGATTCGACATAAAAATATTAGTATGATTTACCTTTATATATTTATGAATAATTATTATAATATACATCTCTTTCTCTATATTTTCAATTAAATTCTTATTTTATCTAATAAAATGAGAATTATATGTACTTATGTTGAATTAAGTTGAACGTGACTTTTTACTTAAAAGATTAAATTAAAATTTGGATCAAATAAAATTTATCTAAAATTAAACCGAATGAGTAAATGAATATTATACTTGATTTAAATTTGAGTAGACCAAAAATCTAACCCAACTCACGAGTATCTCTAATTACGTCAATATGCAAAACGACAAACGATTTGGGCAAAAAGGCGCATCCATAGATAGAAATAGTTAGCTTTTTTATAAAAAAAAAGTTGAAAATAATTAGTTAAAAATGACAAATGATCTAAAACAAGGGTAAACTACGCATTTAGTATATAAACTATCAGTTCCATTTTAGTACCTAAACTTTTGATTTTTTTTCAAAATCATACATAACGTTTAGTTTTTGTTTCATTTTAGTACTTCGCCATTAAAAACTTAACGGACGGGCTGACGACGCGTAGCTCCGGTGAACGGACGATCAATCCAAATAGTGGACCACGAGAGAATGACGAGTCGACCAACATAGTCCAGTTTCAGGCCCATCGGACTATTGACGAAGGAGATTGGAGGATGAAGAAATCAAAGAGTACATCGTCAATTTGGAGAGACTGAAACGTTTTTCGGTGAAACAAATGTTAGAATCGTGTTTAGGAGGTCGAAAAGGTGCGAGCTAGAAAGTTCGGATTTCATAGGTCGATGGATGCGATGGCTGGAGACTGTAGATTCAACGAGATCGTTTGTTAAAATTTTAACGATGTGATATTAAAATGAAACGAACACGTTAGGTATGTTTAAAAAAAAAATAAAAGTTGAGTTGAACATGTGTGGCGGAGGAGGCATGGCGTAGGCCATAACCATTGTGGAAGCTTCTCGGAGAGGACGTTATTATACAAAATTTCCTTTTATAATATTTCAACCCATTATTATTTCTCCAATTATTTACCAAATATATCACTAAAATTCAATGTGAAAATTTAAGATAATAGGAAAATGGTTAAGATAAAATAAAAAATAAAAAGTAATTGTCCAAAAAAATAAATAGTACACTTTATGTAAAGAAAGAATAATTAAAAACGATATAAATTTACTTTTGATTAAATAAAAAAATAGAAAGTAATATTTTTTTATTTTTGGTTATTGAAATTGAAAGATTTTCCATGAGATTAAAATATACATTAATTTTACCATTTGGTATTGAACATTCAAATCGCTACATTCCTAGCAGTGACGGAGCCAATGTAGTCCCCGGGAGACACTGCCCCCAAACTTTTTTACCATTAAAAAGATAGAGATAATTACCAATTTAGACCTTTAAATTTTGATTTATTTTGATTTTACCCTCATTTTCTATTGTTAATTATACTTTATAACCCTGAACTAAAATCCTAGCTCCGTCCCTGAATCCTACTAATTAAACTCGAGACCTTAATAAATAACAACAATTGTTTTACTACTGAATTCATTTGATCGTACATACTTAATTTATGTAATTATACACTAATTTTACCGTATTATTTTAAATCTATTTTACAATCTAAATTTAAGGTGATATAGAAATGCTTGTTTAATTATTAATATTTAAATGATTAATAAAAGCATATAACGATTGATTAAATTCATTTGTGGAATAATCCTTTAATCACTAGAATAATTTAGTTTGAATGAAAATTTTAAAAAATTATGGTTTTATTAATTTTAAAATTAGTGTTTGATATATTAATGGTATTTTTCCCTTCACAATCAATATTAATGTATTTTATTTATTTAAAAATGGTCATTTAAAACTTATAATGATGTATTAAGATGCAATATAAATTGAAATTAAGACCTTACATTTAGGGATGAATATTTCATCCGAACTTAATAGATTTCGACTTACTCAATCATATAGGGTCATGATTTTTCTAAAAAAACTATAAGTTTAGATAGGTTTGGTTTGATTTTTATTTGAAGGATGAAGTCGGTTCAGATTTAGAGTGAAAATATTCGATGTGATTCGATATGAAAATATTAGTATGATTTACCTTTATATATTTATGAATAATTGTTATATTATACATCTCTTTCTCTATATTTTTCAATTAAATTCTTATTTTATCTAATAAAATGAGAATTATATGTATTTATGTTGAATTAAGTTGAACGTGACTTTTTACTTAAAAGATTAAATTAAAATTTGGATCAAATAAAATTTATCTAAAATTAAACCGAATGAGTAAAAGAATATTATACTTGATTTAAATTCGAGTAGACCAAAAATCTAGCCCAACTCATGAGTATCTTGCAAAACATATCCCTTAAATAAAAGGTATAATGCTAAAATTTAACCCACAGTGCTCATATTTTCTTGAAGCATCTTGGTCACAACTTTTTGTGCAAAAAGACGAATTCGTAGATAGAAATAGTTAGCTTTTTTATAAAAAAAGGTTGAAAATAATTAGTTAAAAAAACGACTAACGGTCTAAAATAAGGGTCTTTTGTACCCTAAAATAAAATCCTAAGGGGTCAAAATACTATAAAAAATAATAAATGCCAAAGTGACTATTCAATCAAATGTTAGGAACTTTTTGCCCTAAATGAAATGTTGGATGGCCTAAATGCTCCCAAAAAATGAATATGGGCCAAAATGACTCTTTTAATAAACACCTGGGGTTAATTTTGACATGATACCTAAATAAAAATAAAAATGTTATTTTTGTGATTTCAAGCCAATCGACAAGACTAGTTTTTTTATTCAAACCAAAATGTAGCATTAGATATAATTTAAAAAAAAATCAAGTGATCAAAACGAAACAAAAATGATAGTTATAATACTAAACATGTAATTTGCCCAATAATCTAATATCATTTCCAAATTGTTTTTTTTTTGTGTGCGCGTGAGCATCTATTTCCCTCTGACTAAGCTGGCAAAACATAATGAATCCACTTACTCGTCTCAATATTAAAAGAATGGTTGTTCTCTTTAAAGGTTTCGAGTTAAAATAACTGTCACTAAATATGTGCATTATTAATAGTTAAAAATTTGCATGGTAAATTACGTATTCAATACCTAAACTATCAGTTTTGATATGTTTTAATACCTAATTTTTTTCTTCAAAATCATACATAATATTTATTTTTGTTTCATTTTAATACCTCACCATTAAAAACTTTACGTATTTAGTATCTAAATTATCAGTTTTGATCTATTTTTAGTACATAAACCTTTTTTTCCTTCAAAATTTAACGTTAAGGTTTTAAAGGTACTAAAATGAAACAAAACCCCAAATTTAGGAAAGGTTTTGAAAATTTTAAAAATTTAAGTACTGAAATGGACCAAAATTAATAGTTTAGATATTAAACGCGTAATTTAACCAAAAGCATAAATCGATATTACTTGTAATCACCTAAATTATTAAAAAAAAATTGAGAAACATATTCCTTAAAGAAGGAATGAAAAGGTTATTTTGGTAATTTCGAGCCAATCAACTCCGCCAAATTTTCTTGGCTGTAGTCTATATAAAAGTATCAAGCGGCGTGGATAAATTAAACGTCTTTGCATTGCCAAACTCTTAACCAATATTCTCTTTCTTACATCTCTCGCAATGGAAGGAAACAACTCCTACGGCTACGGGTCATCGTGGGCAGACCAGTGGGACACCAGCAACCCGGAGGCTCCCACCCAGAAGAAAACCGGCGGCGGCGCAACCGTAAAGTACAAGCTGAAGGTGGGGGATGGGCTTGAGAAGACTAAATCTGCAGCTTCGGCAGGGATGAAGAAGGTTAAACAAGGAACGTCTTCGGGGATTCAATGGATCAAGGCAAGTATCATAGAACTACCCAAAAGAAGTAGATCATCTCTGTTGCTTCTCCTTAATTGTTTTGATTTGGTTTACTCAGAGTTGGATTCCTTTGTTGTTTTGTTTTGATGTAAAACTACAGATTAAATCACAGTAATGAATCCGTTTTCTTCTGTTCTGATGTAAAAATTACAATATAATTAGCCTCTGTGAAGGGCACATGTATGAGATATGCATGTGAATCATCATTCAGACTGCGAGTATGTTATGGCATTGATGATAACGGGTCGGGTTGGATTAAAATTTTAACTATCATAAACCCTAAATCATAAATCCTAAATTTATTTCATTTAAAATTTGATCTGAATTTTTAAATTTTTATGATGAAATTTTATATTCGATTCGACTTAAACTGTCTCTCTATATATAATTATTTTTATTTAATAAAGCAGATAGGAATATTATGACAATTATTTTTAAATATGTAAGAAAATTTTATATTTTTTTAATAATGTGTTAAAAATATTTAATCATTTAGAACGTACGAGAAATATTTGTTACAGTGCTTATTGAAAGTCGCTTGGAACATACGACGATTTCTAAAATTTATCTAAAATACATGACGTCTTCTTCATATTTCATACATGCACGATAATAAGGATAGCTGAGTGGTGATGCATGAAACGTAGGGTAGCTTATGTCTTCTAGAAGATGCTACGTGGTCGAAACGACTTCCGATGAATATTATAGTAAAGACCCTAGTCGGAAAAAATAATGTCTTTTACACCTTACATGATCAAATATTTTTTTCGACACATTATTGGAGCAATTTTACCAAGAAAAATTATATTATTATCACACAGGGGTTAGTATTTAACCGAGTAGAGTTTGAATAAAAAAAATTCTAGATGTATTTTATAACTTAAAATTACTTGAAAATGTTTTCAATTCAAATCGAGTTTATAAAATTCGAGTAGAATACATACAAAAAATGAAACATGGCTGGAACGTTTAGCGAAATATGTAAAAATGTTGATCAAAACAAAAATATACAAGAGGTATAGTGACTAAATATGTTGTTTATCCTAATATAATTTGATTTGAGAATAAATATTTTAAAATACAAGTTTAAATTAAATGTCGTGTAACATTTGAAATTTCCACGGATAGACATGGGTCGGTTTCCGTCAACTCGGTCTGAAAAATATACCCTTCATCTGACCCAAATTCGACCATTTTTTGAAATAAAATCGATACCTGATCTTACTCGACCCTAAATAATAATAAAATATTATTTTTATTCAATAAAAATAATGATTTAATTAAATAATAATAATATATATAGAGGGGTATTATTATAATTATTACTAAATATATAAGTAAAAAAATTTCGTGTCATATCAGGTCGAGTATTTTTCACCCTAAACCCAAATTCGAACCGACCCGAACATCACATTTAAAAAACCCGACCCAAAGCCGATATTTAAAAAAAAAAAAACCAACCCGATCATATCGGGTCACACCCCATCGAATTCGAATCCCATGCCCATCCCTAATTGCCACCACATTCAACAAACCCCCAAAAAAACGTCGCCTGAGAGATTCGAACTCTCGCGGGATGAACTAACCACTCGGCCAAACCGACGCTGATACTTTAACTGCAAAGAATACTTATTAGATTTAAAAATACGACAAAGCTACTACCATTGCCAATTAGATTTAGGGATGTGCATGGCAATGACATGACAACATGTTATGATAATCAATCCCATTACAACATGACTTAATCAAGGGGTATCATTGTTTACACAGAAATAAAAACAAAACTCCAAAACATGTTATGATAATCATACATGTCCTTAAAAATAACCCATAATTTGAGCATTATTTTACATTTAGTCATCAACCGTGCTCATAAATCCACCAATAAAGCCAGCCCCATTACAGTTTCCGCATAAAATCTCCCTTTTCCCCCTGCAACACACAACACACACAGATCAATCGTAACAAGCAATAATTCGAAACATTGCCGCTTCGTGTTTCATGCCTTCAAGGCTTTACACAATAGGGTTCATCTCACTTTCTTTTGCAACAATGACATCAGTGTTCCATGTTGTTCTCGATAATGATTCGAAGTAGGAAATCAAACTTTCAACGGCTGCTTACCCCATAATGCAAGCAGCAGGAGTAAAGAAGAATAAATAAAAAAATTTGAATGTGATCAATGAGTTGTAATGACATAAATGATATTAATGCAAGTTATCATGACCGGAGGAGGCAAAGAGATTGGCACCTGCAAAGCCAGCACAAGCCACCGGCTTTAAATCGTCCGTTGAAATGATCAACAGCATTAACTCCGGTACCTTTGCATTGATGACACTGTTTGGCACCTGGTAGTGGATATAGAAACTAGTTGTAATTGTATGCCGGTTTTCGTAATAAGAAAACTAAAACAAAGAACTCCATAAGTGAGCATCATGGGGTGCATATAAGACCATAGGTGATGGACACTAGTATTTGCTTATTCTAACATATAGTATGCAAATATCACTCGTCGGCAGGAAATATATGGATAGATAGATAGACAGAGAGCGAGCAAGCGAGAGAGAACGGAATGTCATCACTAAACACACTAATAAAATTGGCAAATCAAAGGCATCCTTCTAGGTCGATGTTCAGGATAACATGTGTCCAACTGCATAAAGAAACTAGCCACAATTTAGCTTACCGTTTCCCTCACAATCTTCGCAAACGATGCTCCTTGGTTTAACACTTCGATTTTTATCTGCAGCCTGTTAAAACAAAAACTAAGTAAACATGCAAGCAGAAAATTACAGAAAGATAAGAAGAAACTAAGAAGAGAGATTTTAAAGCCTAAATCCGATGCCCCAACAAGACAATGCCCATTCATCCCCTCAGAATCAAGGGTGAATTCATAATCCACATACTCTCACTAGTCACTATCCTATGTGTTGAATAATCGGGTAAAGAAAACGAAAGAACACAAGAATTTTAACGAGGTTCAGCAATGTGCTTACGTCTTCGGTGCCTCAGGCGGCACTAGAATTTTATTCAATTCAATGTCTCATAGGTTTAGGTTATATCTCCTTTTATAATAAATAAACACTGATACATATTTACAAAAATAACCCTGTCCTCTTTACCGGTATATTTGTGAGTCATACCTAACATTATGAATCGATTCCTTATTCATAACCGGCATACTCTCGTACCCGGATACCTATATATCGACAATCTTGGTCCAGCTTACTGACAATAAAGTTGAAAATTGCATTGCTTTCCCTAATTATCTATTTTATCATCCATCTCTAGAATGGGAAACTTCCATAGACATTCCCAGAAATATAGTCCACAAATCCAACTTACAAGTTACAAGCCATCAGCCCCTCAGTATTCTAAATCTCCTTCATGGTCAGGGATGGCCCAAGATGGGTTTTTGGGTTGTAAATGAGACGAGACGAATCACGAGCTATTTGAGTTTAACTCGGTCAAAGGTCATTCAACACCCGAATTGAATGGACTAGAATCGAGCTCGAACTTAACTCGAGTTCTTAATTATCCGAAGCGAGTTACTTAATATCTGACTCGAAAAAATTGTGAGCAACTCAAAAAAATAATAGATTATATTTTAATTTTTAAATTAAATTATTAATGATATTAAATTATTATATTTATATGTTGTTTTTTAAAATACAATATAAGGTTTTTATGTACTTGAGATTCAAGTTCGAACTAGAGTTCCGGTTTCAATCGAGCCAAGTCTGAGAATTTTTCAAGTTCATGTTTTTTCGAGCTCGAGTCGAGCTTTAACTTTTTATTGAAAATTTTAAGCTCGTGAACTTTAGTCAAATCGAACTTCAATTTTTGATTTCAAGTTCGAGTCAAGTTTTAATTTTTTATTTCGAGTTCGTGTCAAGCTTAACAATTTTAAGTTTGCGAGCTTTCAAGTTGAGTCAAGTTCAATTTTAAACTTTTCAAGTCGAGTTTAATAATAGTCGAACTTGACTCATTTATAGCCCAAGGCGGGACAGCGCTCGCGAAAATTTTAAATTCTCATAAAATTTAGATTTTTTTTTGTTTTTTCTATTAATAATCTATTTTCGTCCTTAAAATTCTATAAGTTCACCGCCACCAGTATAAAATCCGACATCCATCCCTATTCATGGTAACGAACTCGAAAATTTACAAAATGGGTACGAGTCCATTCGCAAAATCAGTTCCCAAACCTCACTAAAAATTTCAGAATTAAGACAATTCAACAGAATTGTGAATGAAATTAAAAGAAAATAACTCTTACCCTAGCTTCCAAAGATTGAATTCTGGCATTCCTGGGGCTCTTAAACACCTCATTTACCCGAAAACCCATCCTCGGGAAAAAATTATTATCAACAACTAACCCTAAAACAGACGCAGAAAAAAAAAGGGGGTCAAAACTTGGCCGTATATGAATAAACCAATATCACTAAAACGTCTACTTGTTGATTACCTGGTTTGCAGGGAGCATTGAAGGAACAAGCAGAAGTAAAACACACAGAGCTCGCCATTCTTAAATCTTAAGAGATTTTTCCAATTTTTGAACTGCTTTACGTTTATAGAGCTTTGAATTGAATTTCAGAGAATGAGTTTGTGTGTGTTCGACTTGATAAGGCTAAGCTGAAGATAAGAGGTTCAGTTTAACCGAATTACCGAAGTGCCCTTTGCTTAATGGTTAAAATTTAAATTTTAAGGATTAACTACTTCAAATATTAGAATCTTAATCTTGAAGGGCTGATTCGTTTATATCACTAATATTTTAATTTTATCAATTTTAACGTTAATATTTACTTTTAAGTATAATTATATCATTTCATCGTTAATAATTTAACGACACGATAATATAATATCTCTGTATCGCAACATTGTTGACGTAAATACTTCACTAAAACAATATCGTTGCGACACAATTATTTTGATGTTCAATAAACCCAAAACGCGATTTTGCTTTAAAACAATTATTGAAATATTATGGTTAGGGGTATTTTAACCCAAGCCCCATGGAAATTGTTCTTAATCCTTATCCACTGGGCTACCTTATCTGTTCCTGCACTGACTCCAATGGTTTCAAATAAATTTCTAACTCCAAAATCTGCAGCTTTCCCACCTCTTGTCCATCGGTTCTGCATTACACCACCCCCACGGCAAGGGAACTATAATTTACAGTTATGGGAATGGCAATGATTTCTAAGCAACGTAGCATAGTTGGTTTTGGGGTTGTTAGTTGACAGGGAAAGTAACGAATTGGGCAGAACCCGATGAAGCTTTCAGGGGCAAATCATCGAATAGTTGGTATACCAATAAATATCTTGTTGGGCTCGATGAAACTCGTTCAATAAACCGAAATATATCAGGAGAAGGGTGAATTTGCTTTTTGAAATTTAGGGAGTAAGGAGTATAAAGATAGAAAAATTTGCACAATGATTTATAGTGGTTCAACTTCCTCAATGAAATTTATATCTACTATCTAAACTTTTCACTTAGGATTTTCCAACAAATCTATTAATTTATTCTTTCTTTTTCAAGGATAAAGAGATAACCTTTACAATTTCCCTAACTTTTTCAAAAGATTAGCTAGAACCAAAACCCCTTTATAAAAAAAATCTAAAATTGAATGTGTTTACAAATTAAAGCTCACAAAACACAACTATTTATAAGAGAAAAAATAAAAAATGAAAAGTTTTTTTCTTGTATTTGATTGCTTGGATAGAAGTTGTGTAACATTCTTCAAATGTCATCAACTAGTTTTTATATGTTAGAATGAGTTACAAGTCATTTCTAGCCATTTGGGAAGGTTTGGAGCCATTGGAAGACTTTTTGCACACAAAATTTCGAAACTCTTCGAAAGAGCCATTGGAAAAATTTGACCGTTGGACACAAAGTCTTGAGATGGTTTCAAAACTCTTGAAAGTATCGTAACTTTTTGGGAAATTGTCTTGGAAAGTTTCGAAACTCTTGTAGAAGTTCGAAACTTCTAGTCAAAATACTCATTTTAAAGTTTTGATTGGACTTTGAATTATTTTGATGAAAACTTTGAATAAATTCAATTTAGTCCAAAATATTTTGCCCTTATTTGTTATATCAAAATATTAGTTCTACAATCACCCCTTTTTGATATATCAAAACCTTTGAAAAATAGTTTTTTGGCAAAAGTTTCCTCTTATCCAAACATTTAATGGAAAAAAGAAATATTTTAGAAAATATTAAAGTTCTCCATTTTCATTTTTGAAATTGAATTTTTCAAACATATACTTTTCTCCCTTATTGTTATGTCAAAAATAATTCAAACTTTAGGTTAAAAAATAACAATGGATAGTAAGTAGAGGATCTTAGCATTAAAATCATTTGAAAAATCAAAAGCTCCCTCTCAACAAATGCATTCCAAACAAAAATTTGACTTTAAAAGCTTGACACTTAAAAGACATTGAATTTCAACAAACATGAACAAACAAGTTAGTAGCACATGAAATTCAATATATCTAAGTCTAATATACTTTATGCAATACCAATTGTTGTATTTAAGTGCATGTGCATAAATCTATCCAACAATATTATGCATTTGAAAAATTGATATCAATTGTTAGAGAGATATCATTTGCAATAAATCACATGCATAAACATTTAAATTAAGGTCAAAAATTAAAATTTATAAAAACAAAGCATTAAAACCAATTTTGACCAAAATTCATTATGATGAACAAACATTTATTAAAAATCATTAAAACTTTAGAAAATGTTCATCATAACACTTTTTAACATACATGAGATAGAAAATCAACACAAAATCATTTAAGTTCAAAACTCATGCATGTATACAACAATGAGGCAACCAATTAATTAGAACAAAAACATTAAGCTTAGAGGTTACCCATTCCTTTTCAAGTGTGGCTAGAGCATTTGGATATCTTCATATTCATCACCATTCTCACACACCTACAAGAGACATTTATGTGGATTTTGGTATCCAAATTATTTTGGATCCTTGAACGTTAATTTCAATGCCCCTTGTTCATTTTGGAACTCACACTTGTTTAATTTTAAAACGTTTTTTTTCTTTAAGGGACAAATATGTTCCAAATGACCATGATAACGACAATGTGAGCACTTTGTCATGAAATTAGATGAATTATTTAAAATGATTTCATTTTCTTTGTTAAGTATTCAAGCTTAACTTTTAAATGAAAACATTTTTTCAAAATTTTCAATTTTAACTTTTGAAAGCTCTAAATCATTTTCAAAAGTTCATTTTGTTTTTCAAAATCCAATTTTTCTTTTAAAAGAAAATTCTTTTTCAACTTTAAATTTTGTAATCATTTTCTTGTATTTGGAGTTCATGGTCTCAAACTCTAAAAATAATTCATCGTATGCATCTTGTAACTCATTAAAAGAATATGAATTAGATTTACTAGAGTTAGAAGATACCTTGGGCTCTTCGAGAGCCATTAAGCACACTACCTTTGGTGATTCTTCTTTCTTGTCACCATGAAGTTCTTCGAGTTTATTCCAAAGCTCCTTTGCATTTGAACAAGAAGAAACACCTTCATAGACATTAGGACCAAATGCACAAAACAACATGTGAATGGCATTGGCATTTTGTTGGGCGTTTTTTTCGTTCTTGGTCACTCCACTCCTTCGCCTTCTTCGTTAGAGAAGAGTAGCCGTTCTCGATCATCTCCTATGTATCAAGATCATATGATTGGATGAATAGTTTCATTAATTTCTTCCAATGACGGTAGTTAGTTCAATTGAAGTATGAAGGCTTGTCGATCGGTTAGGAGTCTTCCATGTGGAACGAGCCGGAGATGGAAGCCATCTTCTCGGTTATATTGGAAATGAATAGAGCTTCTTCAAGAATCGTATCAAGGTTGTTAGACTTTATAATGAGTCAAACTCTGATACTAATTGTTGGACTCGATGAAGCTTGTTCGATCAATTGAAAATATGCCAAGATGGGGGTGAGTTAGTTTTTTGAAATTTAGGGAGTAAGGAGTATAAAGATAGAAAATTTTGCACAATGATTTATAGTGGTTCAACTTACTCTATGAAGTCTATATCCACTACCTAATCTCCTCACTTAGGATTTTTTAACAAATCCTCTAATTTATTCTTTATTTTTCAAGGATATAGAGATAACCTTTACAAACTCCATATCTTGTCAAAGGATTAGCTAGAACCAAAATCTCTTTACATAGGAAAAGAATTGTAAACAAGAAAACCTCTAACAAGGAAGGTGTTTACAAATTAAAGCTCACAAAAACACAACTATTTACAAGAGAAAGAAAATAAAGAATGAAAAACTTTTCTCTTGTGTTTGACTGCTTGGATAGGTGTTGTGTAACCTTCTTCAAGTGTCCTCAACTTGTTTTATGCTGGAATGAGTTACTAGCCGTTTGGGAAGGTTTGAGGTCGTTGTAAAACTTTTTACACACAAAGTTTTAAAACTCTTCAAAAGAGCCGTTGGAAAAATTTGACCATTGGACACAAAGTATCGAAACTCTTGAGATAGTTCCAAAATTTTGAAAATTATCGAAACTTTTTGGGAAACTGTCTTGGAAAGTTTCGAAACTTCTGGTCAAAATACTCATTTTAAGGTTTTGATATGACTTTGAATTGTTTTGATGAAAACTTTGAATAAATTTAATTTAGTCGAAAGACATTTTGCCCTTATTTGTTATATCAAAATATTAGTTCTACAATCTCCCTTTTTGATATAACAAAACATTTGAAAAATAGTTTTTGACAAAAGCTCCCCATATCAAAACATTTTAATTTTGTTTCCTGTTGTTACTTTCTGTTACGGACTTTCAAAGTTCTGTAAAGTTAACCCAATGCTGTCTCTATAATGGGCAAGATATGATAGCACTATCTTTCTCGTTGCTCTTTGAGCCCTTTATCAAGTTAATGCATGCAGATGAAGGTCTTGGATTGGTTATGATGAATAATTTTCTATATTTCACTTTATCTTGGTATTGATGAATGACATGAGACCTTTTCCCCGGCAGGTAGAAGAGTTGCAAAGCAAGATACGTTCTAATATAAGTTCCGAGTACTGGCTTCATGTAAACTGTGCATATCCTGACAAGCAATTATTTGACTGGGGCATGGCACGATCGCCTTTTCCTCCATACGGTATTTTTGTTCCATTCGGTACAGAAGCTGATGACCAAACGAGAAAGACACAGGATTACGAGGTCATTTGCTTTATTTATGTGTCATTTTAATTAACGTTGCCTGAGAAAGTGGGTATTGAAATCTACATTGATTTTTAATAACTATGTAATAACCGAACTTCAACTTCATGGGATGAGGTTGTGCTCAGAAATTTGTGGTTTCTATTTAGTATTTACCTTTCGAATCATTTTCCCTTGGAGATCTGATTTCCTAAGCTCTTCATATATTTGGACACGAGAAGGCTATGCGAAGGATATGGCAATCGACGACACATGCAGAGATTTTCTAGAGGATTTTGAGGAAAGGATAAAAATTACTAAGAGTGTTCAGTTAGTCAATTTATGGTATGGTAGAATCATAGGAACCCCCTTCAACGTGTGATGCCAACCTTTGTATTAGGAGAAAAAGAAGATAGCTTGTGGAATGAAAAATTATTCTATGC